AAGCAGGGTGGGGTACTTCCCAGAGTGGGGTACAATGAGGAGAGAGATGGGGAGGGAGATCTGAGGGAGTGACACAGGCATTGGCTGCTGAGTGAGGAGGTGGGTGAGGGGCCATGAGATCTGACAGCATTGATGGAGAGGAGACATGGGAGGGCATGAGCTGGGAAGAGAGTGGGGTGTCAGAAGTGGGACACTCCAGGCTCCGGCATTGGTGAAGGCACAGTGGGGCATCACAGTGGGTCTGGGAGCTGAGCTTAGGGCAGTGGGCCTGGCTCCCCTCCCCAATCTCCAGCACAGTGCCCCCCCCCCATTTTCTCCCCCCACCATTTGCCCCCCATCATTTCAGCAAGTGGTGGCCATGCACTTCTGCAGTGCTGAGTCCCCATGTTTCCTGCCCCCAGGCCCTGGAGGTCCCTGTGTCACCTGTCCATCTCTTCTTTAGGTCCTGTGACTGGAAGAGTTCAACAGAGCCTCAGGCTGGGGGTCAGGAGGTTGGGTGTGGCCCTGACTCAAGGAGGAATACTTTGAGTTCTGTAGCTACTCAGGGCCCAGGTTCTTGGTCTAAAATCCAGGTCTGATGAAGACCAGTAGGGACAGTGGTGTGCCGTGACCTGCAGAGAGTGGGCATAGAGGGATGCACAGGGTTGGTGGCTCTGGTCCTGAGTGGTTCTGCCCCCACCCACCCTCCTTGGACCCCAGCTTTTTATCTCTCTTCTTCTCTTCCAGACTTCCAGAGTCCCCAGGCTTTCTCCCAGTGGACCTTTCCTGAAAGGGCTGCTGGGCACTCAGAGCTGGCTATGCTCTCCTGAGACCAGGGCTGCCCAGAGGCCATGGGCACCTCTAGCATGTGGCCATCTGGCCCTGCCTTGTACCTGGTCCTGTGCCAGGCACTGGGACCCTGATGAAGAGCAAACATGTACCTGTGCCCAAAGAGCACCCCTGTATTGTAGAGCTAGGATAGGAATAGAGAAGAGGGCTCCTGACCCCGTGGGAAGTCAGGGAGTCCTTCCTGGACGAGGTGAGAGAGCAGGGAAGGGAATGTTCTGAGCAGGAGGGGCAGCATGTGCCACAGCCCAAGGGTGACCCTGCAGCTGCCCTGTCCACCTGTCCAGGTTGGCCTACTTTGCCCCATCCCTAGGCACCCCCTGGGTTGTCCTGCCTACTAAGGGCTCCCCAGGACTCATGTCTCTGCCTCAGCAGAGAGAGGGGTGGGGGCCAGTGAAGCCAGGAGAGAGCAGGACCACGGCAGGCATTGGGTCCAAAAAGTCCCTGCACCCCATTACGGTTGCCTGCTTGAGCCAGTAATGGCAGCTCACTCCCTCTCAGGGCCACTCCTCCAGCTGTGGCCCCCAGGTCAGAACTGTGACCGTCCCTTCCCCCCATACACACACACACTTGCACATGCACAAGCTCACATGCATCCTTCCCCCAGGAGCTGTTGCCTAACAGCCTGGCAGCCATGGTGGCAACATTCAGAGTCCCCCTCTCCATGAAGGTGGAGCCTCTGGTGTCATTGTCTCAGGGTCAGCTGAGGGGCTGTCCAAGAGCAGGGCAGGCCTGTCTGAGCCCCAGAGCAGTGCTAGCAGCAGTTGTCCTGTCAGACTCCGGGCCTGCTCAGGTCCAAGAGGGACACACACTCACCTGCTCTACTCCACCTGCCTCTGCACAGATCACAATATCTTCTGGGCCTGAGTCTCTTCCTCTGTTGAGCTGGCCGTGGTCGGCCCTCTGACCTCACAGGGAGGCAACGGGTGCCTTGTCATAATCATCACATTGTTCAATGAGAAGTTTAAAGTGCTCAGATTTGCATTAAAATCTGCCATCTCAACATGAGAGGACGCACGACAGGCCCAGAGTTGAACCCCAGCCGGGGCATGTGACCTCGGATGCACCCTGCTCCTTGACCACTGGGAACCTCAGTTTCCCTTACAGGATGGTCTGAGGACCAGATGAGTAGGCGTGGTGGGCGCTGGGGCAGGTGCTGAGGGTTGGCAGACTCAGAGGATAGAATTGGCGAGGCCACGATCATGGTCCAGGGGACACAGAGAAATACTCTTCAGAGACATGCAGAGAAGTGGTCGTGGGAGCACAGGTGGGCCACATGAGGGTCTCGGCCAGGGAGAGTGGTTGTGCCCACGCAGCCCTGAGCTCGTCTGGGATGTGGCTGGCACCTCCCCGTGAAGGCGCAGGGGCTTGGAGCCTTCCACGGGGGACCCAGCAACTACCACAGTGTGGAGCAGAGATGGGCCTGCATGAGGTATCCCAAGAGTGACGTGGGCTCCCCAGGGAGCCAACCAGAGGCTCAGTGGGGAGAGGACTGGGTTAGGTCTGAGCAGCTCTTAGGGCAGAGACCTTCTCCCAGGGCTGATGTCAACTCGAGGGCAACAGTCTTAGCTGTTCCTGCAGGCATGACCCTGCCCGGGCCTGCTCTAGCCCTGGGAGGCGGCAGCAGGGCCTGAACGGGAAGATGACACACGTGGGCTGCTCCTCCCTGACAGAGCAGCTGAAGGGGGGGCCTTGGGGTCTAGTTAGCCAGCCCCAAAGTAGGTCCTAAGGTCATGAAACCGCATCAGGCGCCATGGCTCCACATTGTGCAGCCGTTCTGCCAGGTCCATTCCACCTGGGTTGGCAGGCCCCTGGCTCTGTGCCAGACGTGGAGCTGGGCACCTGGGGTGAAAGTTGAATGAAGCCGGCGGGTCCCATGGGAAGGTAGCTAGGTCGTCACAGGTACCCCCGGGGAATGAGACAGGGTGGGGGGGGAGGAAGGCTGTCCAGAGGTGAGGCTCAGGCAGGCCTGTGGGGGAAGCAGGGGCCAGCTTGGAACCATCAGGAGAGGATGTCCCAGGCTGAGAACCGCAAGAACAAAGACCCGCACAGAGGAGCTCAGGGCTCATGCACAGCCTGATGGCCGGCTGCCTGGCGTGGGGGCGGGGGGGCAGTTTCTGAAGGGACCGGGATTTGGGGTGAGGAGTTGAGCTTTTAGTCTGGCACAGTGAGGAGTTGCTGGAGAGTTTTGACCAGGAGTGTGACATGGTCTGGTTGGGTTTAGAAATGAGCCATATGGCTGCTAGGGGGAGCCTCGAATTTGGGGGGACAGGATGAGGGCAGGAGACCTGGATACCTAGCACTCTGTGGTAAAAAGGACAGCCACTCTATAACACTCACTGGTGAGGGAAGCAGCGACTGACCCCCGCCCAGGGCAGCATAGGCAGAGCCGGGATTTCAGGGTCACCCCTCAGGAGCTGGGCGGGAAAGAGTTAACCTGGAGTAGGAGGGAGGGAGTGAGATCCTGGCAGAAGGGACACGGGGACAAAGTCACCAAAATGAGAAACTGCCTGCAGCTTGTGAAGAGTGACAAGCAATTTGGCAGTGCTGGAGCATGACCGTCGGGTCCAGGCTGAGACTGGTGGGGTGGGCAGAGCTGTGCCCGTGGGGGCGCAGAGTCCCACAGAATGTCGGTGGCACAGGGGGAGCAGTTCTGGGGCCCTTGGCTGGCCGTGGGATGGTGACATCCATAGCCCAGCCCTGTCCCATCACCATAACGACAAGTGAGGAGAGTATCCTCGAGGGCTGGGAGCTTCCCATGTACGTTTTCGGAAGTGCCCTCGGCTGCCTTGTAGAAGATGGACTGGAAGGGTGCATGGTCTGCAGGAGAGCCAAGTAGAGACAGGGTGACTCCCACACAGGAGAGCTGTACAGCACAGCACAGTCCAGAGATGACAGAGGGCACCCAGAGAGGAGAGAGGGACCTGCGGCAAGGGGCAACCAAGAAAGGCTTCCTGGAAGAGATGGCATTTGAGGAGAGCCTCACAAGAAAGGAGGGGAGCTGGGGACACAGAGAAGGGGGCAGCTGGGAACAGTGGAGGGAACAGCATGGATGACAGCTGGAGGCTGGAGGTGAGGGTGGCCGCATTCAGGGAAATTGGAAAGGAACGGAGAGCAGTTGTCCCTTTGAGGAGGGAGAGAAGAGGAAGGGGGCCTGGCTGGCTTGAGAGCAAAATGTCCTGTCATTCTGCCAGGGGCGTGGCCAGGCCTGGCCGTACCCTTCTTTCTGCCCTTGTTCCACCCCAGAGCAGGACGGAGGGCAGCCACAGGGTTCCACAGATAGCTGAGCCTTCTGCATCTGTGGGATTGGGGCAGTGATGGTGCCCTCCAGAGCTGCGATGGGGGGAGGAGCCCTAGCATGTGCCCAGCCCAGGGTCACTGCCTGGTGCCTCTGAGCATCCCATTCCCCAGCCCCACCCCTAGGGACCTGCCACTGGTCCTGCAGCCCCTCACATCTGTGTGGCTGCTCCCACCCCACTCCCTGAACCGGCCACACCCTGAGGGAGGCAAACAGACATCTGCTAACAACCCCGTCCCCCCACCTGCTCCCCTGGGTCCAAGTCCTGAGCAGAAGTCCTTTCTGGATAAAGGATTCATGCTCGTGACTCCTGTAGGACTCCAGGTCCCCAGGGGCCCATCTCATCCTGAGAGTCATGCAGGGCCCAGGTGGCACCTGTGTCCTTGAGGGTGGCCTGGGAACACCAAGGCCAGGTCTCAGGGCCAATCAGCCTCAGTGGCCCAGGCCCACTCTCTATCCACCCATCTGCTCAGTGGTCACCAGGCCCTTCTTCCAGTGGGAGCAGGAAGGTGGCCCCACACGCCCAGCTGGGGGGTGACACTGAGACTGTTGTCCCCGGGGCCCACATAGCTCCACCGCAGCAGCTCCCGCTGGGGCAATCACTGGCCCTGCTGACAGCCAGCCGGGAAAGCCAAGTGGGAGGCAGATAATCCTGGTTCTGCGTCTGGCGGAGCCCGTCTACCCTCTTCTCAAAACACTCTGGCAGGCCTCAGCAGGGGCGGCCCTCCTGTGCCGACACCTCTTCTCTCGCAGGGGTGGCAGCTAGTTCTCATCTCATCCTCACCCAAGACTTGCTTTGTGATCTTGGGACCATTGCTTAACCTCTCTGGGCCCCGGGTGTCTCATCTCTGGGACGGGGGTGCTCCCCATCCTGCAGACTGGGATGAGAATTTCCATCCAGGTGTTACCTGGCTCAGAACGAGAGCAGTTGTCAGTGGTGCTTAACAAGTGCCCTGTGAGTGACCAGAGCCAGAGCCTGCGTAAGGTCACAGCCATGCCCCCCACTCCCTGCCTCCAAGCAAGCCCTGCTGGGGTTGGGACAGGACACCAAAAAGAGGCACCAGGCAAGTGGCCAGTGACCCTCCACGGTGGGACTCAGTGCCACCGATGAGCTCGGTCCCACCCTTCAGTGACCAGCGAGGCTGGCAGATGCACAAGCTTAGCCCCTCCTCTGGTTCCTGTACCCCCTCTGTCCCCCCCGCTTGCAGATGGCAAGGAGTTTTCCTGGCAGAGTTGGGGACGGATTCCCCACCTCTCTTGCTGTCTGCCGAGGGCTATGGCCAAGTGCCTGATGGTGAGCCCAGTGTGGTCCCCTCACCCCCCACCTGTTCTGAGCAGCTCTGTCCTCTTCGCCCACAGGCTGCGCAGCCCCTGGGTGCCCTCGTGCCTCGGGCAGCCCCGAGTCCTGCAGGGCCAGCTGGCCAGGTCCTCGCCCTCGATCTGGGACAGGTAACATACCTGTTGTCTCCCGCGGCTCCTTGCTGTCTATGCATCTGTCCCCAGACATCTGTCCAGTGTCTGCATCCAACTTCCTGAGACAGGTGGGGTGGCCCAGAGAGGGGAAGGGTCTGCTGGACTGACAGCACACTGTCCCCACACCCCTCGCCTCACCAGTCCCAGCCAAGGGCTGCATCCTTGGGCCTGGGCCCCCTGTGAGTGGCCAGAAAGGGCTCCTGGTGGAGGGCAGGGGGAGCTCCAGGGGCTCCACTACTGCTGGGTGACCACGGTCTTCACTATCCTGTGCAGGGACTTCCTGAGGGCAACGGGGGAGCTGAGAAGCCCACACACGCACACTGTCGGGTTAGGGTCAGGTCCTGACTTAATTCACCAGGAGACAGATTGAAGCAACGTGGCCTCACAAGCCGCTAGACCCAGAAAGGTGGCCCCAGCCTCCACACAGTGCCACCTCTGACCCCGTTCTTTGTGTTGGGCAGTTCTAATACCCGGCGTAGGACACAGACCAGTGACGCCTATGTGGGTGCGCCATCCCATTCTACAGACATGGCAACTGAGGCTGCGGCCAGGCAGGGCTTGGGTTAGTGATCCAGGAGGAGAGGGCACTGGACAGGGATGGTGGCACCACTGAGGTGACCACAGATCCCAGTGCCTAACCCAGGACCCTCCCTGGACCTGGCAGAGGGGACGTGTTCAGGTCTTCTGAGAGGCTGAACCCTCAGGACTTGGTGACCAGCTGGGAGGGGTGAGGGGCAAGGAGGGTCCCAGGGGAGGGGAGCACAGAGGGCAGAGTGCATGCGGGTGTGGTCCCTGTGGTCTGGGCTGGGTGCATCATGTGAGATGCCTGAGGGCCATCAGCTGGAGAGGCAAGTGGGTGGCTGGACCTGGGGGGTGTAGAGCCCGAGAGAGAGGCCCCACCTGGAGCTGGAGGACACTAGACCTGACAGGTGCAGGGAGGGGGTGCAGTGCAAACCAGAGCCCGAAGAACAGCCTGGGCAAGGTCTAGGTATGACAGCTGGAGAGGCAGAAGTGGGGAAGACATGGTGGGGACACCCGGGGTGGGCAGGCCTGGGTTTCAGCTGGGACTGAGGGGCCACGGAGGCATGTCTGGGGCTGAGGCACAGGGGGCGCCTGCAGCAAGTGGGCTTGGAGGCAGGAGGGGAGGAGGATTCAGTCGGTGGGACAGAGGCCCAAGTTCTGGCCTGGAGGCAGCTTAGGGGTGGGTGGGTGGGTGAGGAGCTAAGGGAGGGCGGGAGCTGTATTTCAGGGCTGGTAGACCGGGCAGTCGCCCAGTGTGTCTGGAAGGCCATTGGGAGGCAAGGGTGACCTGTGAGGCTGGCTGGGTTGTGAATGGGAAGTCTTGGCCCAATGCCCCTGGGCACCTCCCAGCCCTACTGCACCTCCCTGTTGATGAATCTGCTCCCTGTTCATTGTCTGTCTCCCCACTAGACCATAGGCTTCTGGGGCAGGGGCCACATTGGTCTTATGGGGCAGAGGTGGAGAGCAGAAGGAGAGGAAGGGAAGGGGATGAGAGTGGATGTGTTGTACGGTGATACTGGCTGGGTCACATCAGGAGTGGGGCAGTCCAGGTGATGGTGGGGTTCAAGCTGGGAGCAGGGGTGGGTGGCCAAGGTGGGGGGAGGGAAGGTTGCTGGCTCTGAGAGGTGAGGGTGGGGCTGTGGGGTGCCCGTGGATACTAGGGCCACCAGGATGGGGCAGGGCTGAGTGAGAGGACATGACAAGCTGGGGGAGCAGGTCTCAAAAGAGCGAGGGCCAGAGGCTGGTCAGTAAGGGCCGGGGTGTGGCCTGGGGCCAACTGGGATCTGTAGCTGCAGGTGCTAGAGGTGGGGCGGCCATGGAAGGCTGCCTGGAGGAGGCGACGAAGAGCGCTCCCGGCAGGCAGACCTGCGTGGGCAGCGCATGGCGCTTTGCCTCGGGCTTCCGTCTGTGCTTGTTACTACTCCACATCCTCTTTTGGGGACTGATTCTTGGGAAGACCTGCCCCGCCCTTCTCTGAAGTTCTCTAAAACATAAGCAACTCTTTATTTTTATTTATTTTTAAAAATACAGACCTGGGCAGGAATCCAAGAATGCTTAATCGCAGTTTGCTGGGTGCGTGCCCGTGGTAACACGTGTGGTTTACTCACAGGGCCCGAGACAGAAGATAGTTTTGCCCAGGGGATGGGGGACAGTTGTGGCCCCAGAGGGACTGGGAGAGAGCCTCCTACCTGCCCCTCTATGCCCTTTACTTGGGTTTAGGTCAGGGAGGTCCTGAGGGCACAGGCTTGTTCCTCAGGTCCCACAACACATCGGGGCAGAGTCTGGGTTCCCAGGCCCTGCCGTGCCTCAGGTTTCCAGCATGACACTGGGGACTTCACTCCTGCCCCCAACCCTGAAGCAGGCATCATCCACCCCACATCTCTCTGTCTCACAGGAAACCCACCAGAAGTTAGCATCCAAAAGGGTATTGGTCCCACCCAGATGGTCCCCTGGGACCGTGAATGAACTGGCTCAGGCCCCCGTTCTGACTCAGCTAGCAGGTGTAGCCCCTGCCCTTGTGGAGTTCACAGTTCTTACCCTGGGGCATGGCCACCTGCACCCACCCCTTCTGCCTTGTGCCCAACTCTAGTTCACATGGCAGCTCACATGGGTGTACTATGCCATGTCTGTTTCCTGAGTGTGTGGGGCTCAGCATCCTGGGGTCCTACCCTCCAGGAGCCTCCATTCCAGGGGAAAAAATAGCGCCTGAAGAGCCCTGCCTGGTCTTGTGGAAGGCTTCCTGGGGGAAGGGGCACTTGAGCAGGCTGGGGCTTTGGTGAGTTTCCAGTGCTGCGTGCAACCTCCCTGGCTACTGTGGTGTGTGGGGTACTGCCACCAACCCTCTCCTTGGCTCAGAGAGGTGACAGTGTGCTCGGGCCACACAGCCAATTGGGGGAAGGGAGATCTGGTCTTAGGCATGCCATTGCCAATTCTGGGCCACCGTCCCTGCCCTAGCACCGTGGAGGAGCAAAAGTCAGGGCCCTGTTCAGCTGTGGCATCGAGGTCAGCTCTATGACGGTTGCCTGGGTGCCGATAGACACCATTTATACCAGGGTCCTTTAAACCACCCCGCATACACTCGCCAGTCTCTGGGGTCAACGTCTCTTCCAAGGTGACCCACTGGGATTTACTGTGGTGGGGGCTGTGAGACCCTGACCTCTGGCACGGTCAGTGCCGAGCGCGTGCTGCAGTGGGGAGGCTGAGTGTGTGCGCGCACTCGCGAGCGCTCGTGCGGCCTGGTGCACGTGGTGCGCACCCAGGAGTGCCCCAGCTGGCCCGCGCAGGCCTCAGTTTCCTCGCGCTCAGCGCCGCGGCCCGGCCCGCCGCCGCGTGTCGTTGCAGCGCGCTGCAGGAGCAGAAGGGCGAGCTGCGCAAGCGGCTGTCCTACACCACGCACAAGCTCGAGAAGCTGGAGACCGAGTTCGACTCCACGCGCCACTACCTGGAGATCGAGCTGCGGCGCGCACAGGAGGAGCTGGAGAAGGTCACGGAGAAGCTGCGCAGGTGATGGGCGGGGCCTGCAGGGCGGGGTCAGCAGGCGGCAGAGCTCTGCTCCCACCTGAGCTAGCGAGGGGTGACCCCATCCGCAGGTGGGGAGTCCAAACGCTTGGTGAGGGTGAGCTCTTTCTCCAAAGTCACACTTTGTGCCAAGAGCAACCGAGCCAGGATTTGAATCTGGGTTTTGCTGCTGGTAGGGACACGCTTTTCCCAGGGCACCTCTCCACACCTGGCCCCATGCCCCACTCTTTCATTCTCTCATATTTGTTGTGGCAGTTGCATGATACAGAAGCCACCATGTCCAGACCGTGACTTGTCCACCAGGGTGCCAGCCACTGTACCCTGGGTCTTGACGACTAGCCCCGGAGATGAACCAGACTTTAGGGACTATTCCCTTAAGCAACATGGAGGCCAGTGAAGTGCTGAGCAAGGTGTACCCAACTCCCTTAAAAAACAAATTTTTCTAAAAACATTTTTTTCTGCACATTTAAGATGGATATTTTTTTCTAAAATGTATTTTACACCCTTCTATCTTAAACAGAACACGAAGAGAGAATACAAACTTTGCTGCTGGCTTGGTTTGTTTTAAATTTTCATGGAGTACCTTGGCTGGAAGGAAGATTTGCCAGCAGGGCTGCTTGTCCCTCCCTGAAAGGCCCCATATCCTCCTGGGCTGTTTGAATGTCACCACCTAGTCATGTGTAAGCTTGGGCATTGCAGTCAGACCTCAGTTAGGGTCCCGGCTCTGCCACTTACTGCTTTAAGCATGTCTTGCCTCAGTTTCCCTATTGGCAACACAGAGGCAATAACACTGCACACAGGTCATCTAAAAGATAGGCACTGTCCCCAATCCCCCTCTCACCAGAAATGGAAACACAAAGCACCTGCTTCCCACCTAACACTTGGCTCCACCCCTTCTTCCAGGTAGTACCTTATCTTATTCACTGGTAGGTCCCCAGCACTCAACCCAGGGCCCGCCACGTAGTCAGCATTAAGTCTCTTCCCTGCTGATTTGCAATTGAGCAATAAACCCCACGTCTGGCCTTGTAAGGACTGTGTGTAAAACGTGAGCACACTGGCTGCAATGAGGACCTGACTCCAGGGGGGCCTGGTGTCAGAGGTAGAACGATATAGCACTTGAAGCTGGCCTCGGAAAAGCCTCAACAGATGTTCGCTTTAATCATTTGTTTTCTGCTGAGCGCATAGGAGCACACATTCCATCAGGGTAGGGCTGGTGGGAGTTCAGCCCCACCCTGCTCAGCGGGCTGTGTGGCGGTCAGGGCCCTGGGGGTGTCAAGCCTAGCACACAGTGATTCCATTGCCTCCTCCTCCAGGATTCAGAGCAACTACATGGCACTGCAAAGGATCAACCAGGAGCTGGAGGACAAGCTGTATCGCATGGTGAGGGCCACCATTCAACACCCACTCCCCCACCCCAGCGCTGCCTTGCCTGGGTCCGCAGCTCTAGGAGCATTGGGAAGAGATGGCCTAGCTGGCATCCTCTGGCCCATTCAGGAGCTGGGTCACCAGACCTGCTTCCTGATACCTCTGGAGCTGGGCCGGTCCTCTGCCTTTCTCCACTGAACGGGAAGGTGCTCTCAGGATAAGGACATGTCACGTCCAGGGCTGCCGCCTGCTGCCTGAGCAGCACATGCGAGCACCCCAAACTGGGGGCGAGTAAGCCGGGCTGTAGGACAGAGGACGCGCACTGGCAACAGGGACCCAGCTCAGCCTGCCAGGCAGAGACCCAGGACTGGGAGGACAGAGAGGCCCAAGTTCAGGCCCTGGGTGACCCTGAGGCAGTTTCAAGCCCCAACTCCACCTCTCCTGGGGACCCCTCTGTCTTACTGTGAGGAATAAATGCAACAGTACCCATGTCTGGCCCTAGTGGGGACAGAGGCCCTCTGTGGAGACCCTCACACCACCTGCAAATAACCTCGGTGGTGTTGCCATTTCTCTGTAATCAGGTAGCAAGCCCTCTGCTCGGAGGGGTAGAGATGGTGACTGTGGGCACCTTGGTCATCTCTGCCCTTAAAGAACATGCTCCACAGCTCATGTCGAAGAGGCGGGGTATGGGTTTCTGGCACCTCCCTTTTGTTAGGACAAGGAGCTTCCCTCTCTTTCAAGTTTGGTGACAGGCTTGACTTGCCCTTGAAAATTGGAAGTGGGTGTTCAACACCTGCCTATCCTCAAGGTGCTGTCAGGGAGGGGAGGTGGGCAGGCCTGGGGATGGGCCCAGCTCTGCTTGGGACCCTGGATGAGGGCCCTTCTCTTTCAGAGCCTCAGTTTCCCAAACTGTCAAGTGAGATGGGCTAGGCTCCATGCTGAGGACAAGCCTTTCTCACTCAGTCCTCACCCCAAACTCCTGAGGGAGGACGCTCTTATCCCCATGTTGCAGATGAGAAACTGAGGCTCGAGGAGGCAGTGACTTGCCCTGGGTGGTCTGGCTTGTCAGTGGTGGAGCAGGATTTGAACCTGAGTCAGTCTGCATTCTCAACCCCTGCACCCTGGCCCTCCAACACCTCAGCATTGACAGCTGCAGCGGGGGACACGGGAGGCCGCATCGCTCAAGTGGGCATGAGCACCAGGGCTTTGATGGTTCCCCAGTAGCTGACCGCTGACCACATCCTTCTGTTGTCCCCACAATCCAGGGCCAACACTATGAGGAAGAGAAGCGTGCACTGAGCCACGAGATTGTCGCCCTCAACAGCCACCTGCTGGAGGCCAAGGTGACCATCGACAAGCTGTCGGAGGACAACGTGAGTGCTGCGTGCATTAGGCCCACTGGGGGGATGCCGGCGGGTGTCTGGTGAGGCCTTCCAGGAAGCACTAGGGTCAAAGCCCTTCTGACTCTGAGGGGCCACAGCCTCAAGGGGCTGGCACAGGGGACAGGTGGATGGACAGGGCAGTTAGGCTTCGAGGAGTGCCTGGTCCAGTCAGGGAAGGACAGGTGGGCTGCCTCACCAGACACACTGCTGAGGCGTTGCATACAGACCCTCTGCTGAAGGACTTGAGTTAGGAAATGTGGGGCCCTATTATCCCATTCAAGGTGAGGCTTCCTGACCCCAGGATGGGGTCATGGCCCCTCAAGACTCCTGCTTCAGCCAGCCCTAGTGTCGCATCAGAGCTGTGTGGCCACCCATGGGGCCAGATTTCAGGGACTCTGTGAGAGGGGACCAGCCACCCTCCACAGACCCCTGCCAGCTGACCATGCATCCTTGATTAGCATCTACTCCTTGCCAGACCATACTGGGCTCTGAGATTAAGGTGTGAATCACACAGTCCAAAAAAAAAAAAAACCCGGGCCGGCCCGGTGGCGCACTGGATAGTGCGCTGCTTGGGAAGCGCGGCGGCGCTCCCGCCCGAGGGTTCGGATCCCACATACAGACCGGTTCCCGCTCACTGGCTGAGCGAGGCGCGGGAGCAACGCCGAGGGTTGCGATCCCGTTGCCGGTCCCCGGTCCGGTATGGGGACAACACTGAGGGTTGCAATCCGTTGCCGGACACGGAAAAAGACAAAAACAAAAACAACAACAAAAAAAAACCCACGTGGACTTACATCTGAGTAGGGAAGACAGATGGTAAACAAGACGAACACACGAACCGCGTGGTGTGTCAGAAGTGCTAAAAGCCGCAGAGAAGCAAAGCAAGAACGTCCCAGGGAGTCCTCGGTTGCAGGGTCTGCAAATTTCAGTGGGATGCTTCTAGAAGACGCTGCTCGAACCTAGACCTGAAGGAAGTGCAGGGAGAGCAGTCCTTCCGGGTGGGAAGAGCCACTGCATTCATCTGTGCTTGATGAACTTTGAGAACAGCAGAGGCCAGAGTGGGCCCTGGGTCTCAGGTCAGAAAGATACTACAGGGCCACATTGTATAGGCTCCTATCAGGAATCTGGGCTTTATTCAAAGCGACATAGGGAGCCATGGAGTTCTTGAGCAAAGGGGTAAGGTGATTGCACTTACAGTTGTGCTGGGCTCATGTGGCTGCTGTGCTGAGAACAACTGTGGGGACGAGGGCAGGGGAAGGGAGATCAAGGAGGAAGCAAGGGCCACAGTCCGAACGAAAGGTAACAGTGGCTCACGCTGGGATGGTGGCAGTGGCGGTGGGGAGAAGGGCTTGGATTCTGGTTATGTTGTGGAGATTCTGCATATGGGGTGTGAGTGAGATGAGTCCAGCCAGCCACAAGGTTCAGAGCCTGAGCCCAGGAGCGACCTGCTGTTTCCTGGGCCAGGACACCTGTGGAAGAGCAGGTGGGGTATGGCAGGAATTGGGCTCAGAAGCACATGAGACATTTGAGTGGCCATGTCTCATGGGCAGTTGGATATCAGGGTCTGGAGTTTAGAGTAGAGGCCACGCACGGGGGTGTTTAAAGCCACAGATGGGTTGAGGTCACTGAGGGCATGCGTGCAGAGGGCAGGCCCAGGTCGGAGGCAGCTCTCACAAGTCAGGTGAACAAATAGGAACCAGCAAGGACATCCTAGAGGGAGTGGCCAGCGAGGGGATGGGGGGGACACTCCACAAGTGTGGTGGCCCAGAAGCCACGGGTGGAAGGTGCTGCAGTCAGCAAGCTGGCCAGCTGGGTCACTGGCTGCTGAGAGACTAGGTAAGAGGAGGGCCGAGAAGTGGCCTTGGGGTTTGGGGTCTTGGAGGTCGGTGGTTGAGTGGAGTGGGGCCCTCCTAACAGAGTGGTGACTTTGAGAGAGAAGGGGAGGGGAGGTTCCAGCACAGACAATTCTTCCAAGGAGTGTGGCCATCACAGGAGGCGGAAAGGAGAACATGGACTCAGGACAGGACACTTTTCTTAGTGGAACAAGACCAGGCCCTTTACCTAAGTTGCCACCAGTCCTGCCGGTCTCTCTGCAGGGATAGTGCACATGAGGAAACTGCGGCATAGCCAGCTTCAGCGATTTCCCAGGTCACCCAGGTGATCACTCACAGGCAGAGTCACAAATCAGACTCAGGACTGTCCGACTCCAGAAGCCCCACCCTTTCAGCATCCCAGGCTCCAAGTGGCTGGAGCTCCGGCCTCCATCTGCTTTATGCCTGAGGCGTCCCCACGAGTGTTTCCTCCCCAGAGCCAGCATCTGTGGCCCCTTGGGAAAGGCTCCCGGCTGTCCTAAACCCGACAACCTTGGACATGGACAATCCAGGGTCTTCGATGGCCAGCCAGGGGTCTTGGTCAGTGTGGTGTCTTTTTCCGGGGGTCATGTGCATGACAGATACTATCCAAGGTCACCCACTTCTCCAAGTGGCATCCCCTAGTGGCTGTGGCTGGGGGGGGGCCTCAGTGGCAGACGTGGACTGGCCCTCAGTCCTCTGGTGCCAGGGGCAGCCAGTCTAGGGCTTCACAGGGGGCCAGTTCTTAGCTCTCAGTTAACTGTGCTGTTCCTAGGAGTCAGGGAGGCATTGAGAAGAGCTTGGGGTCCTAGGTCCCCTCCACCACGCAGGCCAGGTTGGGAGCACCAGCCTCAGGGCAGAAGGGGAGGTGAGGGAGGCTCCGGGACTGTGGCATGGGGTCAGGAAGGGGTGGCCGCACCAGGGACAGCCTTGCCTGAGCTGCAGGACTATGGCAGCGGCCCATGGTCAGGAGCACCGGTGGGGCAATGCAGGTGGATCACAGGGTCTGTCGGGCAGACCTGGGGCTGGCTGTGACACCCCCCACTGTGGTGATCCCTGTTGGAGGCAGTTATGAAAGGCCCAGCCACAGGCACATGCAACAGAGATTTTCAGAGATGAAACCAAATCCCCTCGATTCCTACTGTTTGCATCTGTTTTCAGCTCAGGTGGCTGAGCCAGTCCCTGCTTGGACCTAGGGTCACACACCTGCCCTGATCCCTGCCCAGCCCTGCAGCCACCCCAGCTGCCAGACCACACTCTGAGAATGGGTGTGAGCAGAGAGTCTGAGACATGGGGGTGGCAGGGGCTGGAGGCTCATTCCTTGTCCCTCATTTGTGCCCATCACTCCCACCAAGTCATCTTTGGAGGGACTCCAGGAAGCTGAGGGACAGGGGGACCAGACTTGGTCTCCAAGCCTGGGGGCCTCCAGGAGCTCAGGGCCCTTGGGGACCCTTCTCCTATCACTGCCCCCACCTTGTGGGAGGTTCCCATCTTGGCAGGCCCTAGACACCCCATCTGGCAGGGCCCCGTCCACACACCAGCACCCCCAGATCAGAATGAGGCCCTCCATTTTGCAAGTGAGAGCATGAAACCCAGAGGGGAATGGCGCTAGGACTTGGTCCTTGTCCTGCCAACTGCACAGCTGGCTCTGCCCACCCCTGTTGCCCCTGCTGGCCACTCGGCACTGGTCAGCGCAGCAGGGACCTTGGCCAGGGGTGAGCCACGCCCAATGCCTTCTCTTGTCTTTTAGGAGCTCTATAGGAAGGACTGCAATCTAGCTGCCCAGCTGCTGCAGTGCAGCCAGACCTACGGCAGGGTCCATAAGGTGTCTGAGGTAACGTGAGTCCCGCCCCACAGCCAGGTCCCTCCGTGCCCCCAGGACCACTCTGGGCTTCTTTTTTGCTGATCTCACCTGGCAGCCACTCCCCACCCTTTAGGAGGAAGATTCTGGGTGAGCCTGGCCCCTTCTGTCCCTCCTTGCTCCTACGGTGTCCTGGCCTTTCTGGTGGTGGAAGGGCTGCCCCGACTCACCCACCTCACCCAGCCCAGCAATCTCTGGCCCTCCCCAGAGCCCCCGGCCCACCTGGTCTGCCCGTTCCCCTCAGTTTCCTGTGGGGGCTGTTCCTTGGCCTGCTCCAAGCCCCCCATCTGCTGAGTGCTGACTGGAGTGCCCTTGTGTGAACCTACAGAAACCCTGTGGTTTGGGCACAATTACTGATAATTCAGAGACAAAACCGGCTTCAGGAAAAGTGATTTGGCCAAGGCCACAGGGCAAGCCGACAGCAGAGCCAGGATTCAGAAGAGGCCTGTCTGGTGCCAGAGCCAGCCTGGGCAGCAGCCCACCCTGCCCATCTGAGGTAGCCTGTAGAGCTGGCCCAGGGACCCCCACCCAGCCAGGGCACCCCTCCCTGCCCCTCAACTCACATACTGTCTCCTACACCAGGCCTCTGTGTTCCCTTTCCCTGGGCCCAGGCCATACCTGAGACACTCACAAAATAGATCAAACAGTAGTGGGACATCCCCCACAGGGTGCCTGGCCCTGGCCCCTCAATCTTTGTTGCATCTGTTTCTGAGTCTGTCTTGTTCAGGAGCACCCAGGCAGCATGACTGGGGGCGGGGGTGCCCCCAACAGAACCTGTGGGCCTGGGAGAGCAGGTCAGTCCCTCGCTGGGCAAGAAATGGGGTGGGGGGGCCTCCAGCCCCAAGTGGAGCCTGAGTCAGACTTGGGCTCTGGCTTCTTCCAACCAGCTCCAGCCTCTGGGCAACGCCAGGCCCAGCCAGGGTGGGGAGGGATGGGTAGAGGTGACAGGGATCCCCAGGAACTGACCACACCCACATCTCCAGGAGCTTAAATACAGTGTCCTGGGCCCTGGCTCCCACTGGTGAGATTTGAGAAGCCTGGGAGGTCCCTATTCGTCTGTCTGCCTGTCAGTCACAGCTGACCACAGTCCTTGGGTCAGGGCCAGGGCTGGGCCACCATGCTGACTGCAACCCCTGTCCCCGCCTTCCCCTCATCCTCACACCCGTTCCAGCTGCCCTCAGACTTCCAGGAGCGCGTGAGCCTGCACATGGAGAAGCACGGCTGCAGCCTGCCCTCCCCACTCTGCCACCCGGCCTATGCCGACAGCGTCCCCACCTGCGTCATCGCCAAGGTGCTGGAGAAGCCCGACCCCACCAGCCTGTCCTCCCGCCTGTCCGATGCCTCGGCCCGCGACCTGGCCTTCCGCGACGGGGTTGAGAAGCCAGGCCCAAGGCCCCCATACAAGGGAGACATCTACTGCAGTGACACAGCCCTCTACTGCCCAGAGGAGCGGCGGCATGACCGGCGGCCCAGCGTGGATGCGCCGGTGACCGATGTGGGCTTCCTGCGCACCCAGAACTCCACCGACAGCGCGGCCGAGGAGGAGGAGGAGGCCGAGGCAGCGGCCTTCCCCGCGAGCTTCCGGCACGAGGCCTTCCCTGGCTACGCAGGCTCGCTGCCCACGTCCAGCTCCTACTCGAGCTTCAGCGCCACATCGGAGGAGAAGGAGCACGCTCAGGCCAGCACGCTCACCGCCTCACAGCAGGCCATCTACCTGAACAGCCGCGACGAGCTCTTCGACCGCAAGCCGCCCGTCTCCACTGCCTACGAGGGCAGCCCTCGCTTTGCCAAGGCCACTGCTGCGGTGGTGGCCCCGCTCGAGGCCGAGGTGGGCCCAGGGTTCGGCCGGACTGTGTCGCCCTACCCGGCCGAGACTTTCCGCTTCCCAGCCTCCCCGGGCCCCCAGCAGGCCCTGATGCCCCCAACCCTGTGGAGCCTGCGGGCCAAGCCAGGGACCACCCGGCTCCCCAGGGAGGACATTCGGGGCCAGTGGCGGCCCCTGAGCGTGGAGGACATCGGCGCCTACTCCTACCCAGCCAGCACTGCAGGCCGCGCCTCACCCTGCAGCTTCTCCGAACGCTACTACGGTGGTGGCAGGGGCAGCCCAGGCCAGAAGGTCGAGGGCCATGCCAGCCCCCTCTATGCCAGCTACAAGGCCGACAGCTTCTCAGAGGGTGACGACCTCTCCCAGGGCCACCTGGCAGAGCCCTGCTTCCTGCGGGCAGGTGGTGACCTAAGCCTCAGCCCTGGCCGCTCGGCCGACCCACTGCCTGGCTACGCACCCAGCGAGGGGGACGGGGACCGGCTCGGGGTGCAGCTGTGTGGGGCCGGCAGCAGCCCCGAGGCCGAGCATGGCTCCAGAGACTCCTTGGGGCCCAGCTCCATGGAAGCCTCCCCGGAAATGCACCCTGCCGCCCGCCTCAGCCCCCAGCAGGCCTTCCCGCGGACTGGTGGCTCGGGGCTGAGCCGCAAGGACAGCCTCACGAAAGCCCAGCTCTACGGAACCCTGCTCAACTGACTGCCTGCGTGCAGGCCACAGCCATGGGCTTGCCTCTCCCCCAGTCACCCATATTGCCCCAGCCCCTGCCAACAAGGAGTAACCTGTTCCTCCCAACACCCCCTCTTCCACCTAATCCAGTAGAGCCCCGGAGGAGGACCCCCCCCATTGCCGTCTTGTCCACCCCCAGCCCACCGCAATGGAACTTCCCCTTAGAATGTTTTTCACACACTAACACCCTTCCCCCACCTGCGATGAGCATCCCCCCTTTTATAAAGTGAAACTATTTTTATAGAGAAAAAGGATCTTTCTTAACGCACTTGGCCTCCAGCTCCCTGGACGGCAGCCTTGGCGTTTCAACACAAAGCTCCTTTATTTTTGGGGTGAGGGTGCATGGGGCCAGCCCCTTAGAAGGGAAAGACAGTGTCGTGGGGAGAACAAGCTCCACAAGCGGGAAGACACCTAGCAAGCTGATAATAAGGGAACCCCAAAGTTCTGTCCATGAAGAGGGGAATGGAATGAGATGAATTAGGGGATATGAACTGTTTTAAAAATCTACTTTTCACAGTGTGGCCAACACACCACCCTGAGCTCTTCCACGGTCCAACTCCCGACCCAAGATTAATCTCCCCAGGATGCGTAATAACTTCGTATAGCATACATTATACGAAGTTATACGACCCCAGTGTTCCGATCCCCAGCACCATCTTACTCTACCTCAGACATAATGAGGCCCTCTGACTCCTGGTCTGTAGCTTGCACTCCTGTTGTCTGTGATGCATGCGCGTCTAGTCAGTACTGTATTTTGCCTTCATTAATAAAAGACACCAGTGGAAAGAATTTGGGTTTGGGTTGTTTCTCCTCCCCACTGCCGTTTGGTCTCAGGAACATGTGGCCCTTGGTGTCTCTCCCTCCACTGTCTCCCTGCAGCTGAGGTGGCCCCTGAACTGCACTGAACACCTCCCCTGTGGCATCTACGTTACCGTCTTGTGTTTGAATTCGTCCACTTTTTTTAACCTGCAAATCATGGGCGCTGCTCTTTCAGCGTTCCTTTACATTTTCCCCCATATTTGCTACTCCCTCATTCTCACGGCTCAGATATTGCTTCTGTCTAAAGCAGATTCTCTAGAATTTCCTTCAGGGCGGGTCTCAGTTTTTATTTCTCTGAAAATGTCTTTATTATGCCCCACTCTTGAAAGGTGTTTTCTCAGGGTGGCATGCTGGGAGGTGATTGCTCTGCCACAGCACACAGGAGATGCCACCCCCGTTCTGGCTTCCTTTCAGCATTGGGAACTCACCGTCAGTCTGGAAGCTACTCCTCTGACGGAACAACACAACAAAAATCTTTCTTTCCTCCCACTCATTAAGATCTCTTTGACTTTGGTTTTCTGCAGTTTCCCTGAGGTGTGTCTGGGTTTGGATTTCTTTCTTAGAATTCACAGTGAGACTTTTATCTGTGGCTTGATGTATTTCATCAGTTCTGGGAAGATCTCAACTATTATTTTTAAAAAATATTTCTCTGCTTATTCTCTCTTCCGTTCCTCTGGGACCACCATCCCAGACCAGCAGCCCCTCTAACTGTGTCCTCTGCATCTGTTGCCTTCTCTTCCATATTTCCCATGTTTTTGTCTCTCCCCGCTGCAATCTGCATGTGTTCTCCAGTTCAGTCATTCTCTTCTACTGTGTCCATTCAGCTGCCACTGAAAAAAACACAGCCACTGGATTTCTAATTTCAGCTATTAATGTTTTCCATTTCTAGAAGTTCTGTTTGGTTGTTTTTACAAATCTACTGTGCTTTCTATAGTTCCTTATCCCCTGGAGATATTTTCAAGCTTGTCTCTTTTCTTTAAACACAGTGGGCACAGCCATTTCACACTCTGGGTTGGTACTTCCATGTGGCTTCTGTGTAGGTCTGTTTCCCTGGATTCCTGCTCATGTTGCCATGTTTCTTTGTGCACCTGGTTATCTTTGACAAGTGCTCGTTCATGCCCTTGAAGATGTACTTGTGGGGTCTGCAAGGCCTAGGATGGTAGCCACCTCCTCTCGGGGGGGCTGTATGTCTGCATCTTCCACATGCCTGGGGGTACTTCTCGTCGGGGACCACCTTAACCCAGCTCCATGCCCTGAAGGTCCCTGGCCCACCCAGCTTTGTGTAGCTCCAGGGCAGGTCTGCCCCTCGGCAGGTGACCTGCAGGAGGGTGGACATCAGCAGTGGCTCTCAGCATCCCTCTACTTCACCCACCTCCAGGAGCAGGCACCATCACAGCACGCAGCCTCCCTGAGCCAGAGGGGGCTGTGGAGAGGCTCAGGAGACAGGTCCCATCCCTGGGGCCCAGTTTCCTCCTGGGCATAATGGGGTAGCAGCCCTCACTGAACTGGGGAAATAGAGGTGGATGGGAGGGAGAAACACGCGGCCCCAGCACCCAGTGGCAGAGGCATCCCCAGAGGAACATCATCAGCCTTGTCAGCCCCACATGTTGGCTGTGTACCCAGGCAGGGGGTGGGGGGGGGGCCTCTTCTGGCTCTCCCACCACTAAGTGGCAGAAATCCTACCCAGCTCCGACTCCTGGGGGCCTATGGAATCAATGCACCTGGCCCCAGGCAGCAGGGCTAGGAACCCCAAGGGCTTTGCAGCCTTGGCCCAGAGGTTCCTCTCAGATCCTGGCTCCTGGCCCCCATATGGTCGTCTCAGAACCTAAGTACCTCCAAAATGGCCTCCAAACCTCACAGCACTTTCCTGCCCTGGCCTCCAAAGCCAGCCACAGACAAGACTTGGTGTCTTGTTCCCACAGCACTGAAGACTGTTGGGCCCCTGCTCGGGGCTCACTCAGTGGGAACAATGACTCAGGAGGACAGACTGGCTTGGCCACACAGAGATTGGGGAGAGGGATTTGGAACTGCAGCCTGTAGCTTTGAGCAGCAGGGTCACGCTGATGCCTCCCAGTGCAGGTCAGCCTGCAGTGCTGTGCATGGCAGTCTCAGAGCACTTCTCCTTGTGGGGGGCGGGGGGGGGCTGAGACTGGGAAACCTTGTTTTACCCTCCTCCAATCCCCCTGGCTCAAAGCCGGCTGAGGGGGACCCTGGGACTTACGAGTTCTATGGCTCTGGTTGATAACTCCTCTCTCCCAGAACACCCTGGGCTGGACTTGGAGCTTCCCTCCTCTCCCCAGTGCCAGGGCCAGCTCTCCAGCCCCATGCTGGCCATGGGCACCTGGCTCTACCCACAAGGAGCTTGAAGGTGGGGGAGGAAGGCAGATGGTGTAACACTAGGCTCAGGCTTCAAGAACACAGGGGCTGTGGGCATGCAGACTGAGGACAGACATCCCTGCTCCAGGAGGAAGAATGGAAGGTGTCAGAAGGAGAGGCTCACACTGGGCATTGAAGGATGAACAGGAGTTCACCGGGTATTTCAGGAAAAGGCACAGATGTGCGACAGCTAGAGAGTTCTCGAAACCATTCAGTGCTCTCGTGTGCCCCCCTGAGGGGCTCGGCCCTGGAGCTGCCAGGTTTCCTCTGGACCTGTCCTTGGCTGTTCTGCGTTTGGACAGGAACTGTGTGGCCATGACCATCCACCCAGGCAGCCAGGCGAGCCAGGGTGTGGGGCTCCCTCCTCCACCACCGCCACTCTCCTTCCATGCAGGACCCTGCCTTGCCTTCAGGGAGGCTCCATCTGCATCCAACACCTGCCCACCTACCTGTGTATGTCTTTCCTCAACCCCCACTGGGGAAGTGCGGGGCTGAGCTCTGCCACCAGCTGACTGTGTCACCCTGGGCAAGTCCTGGGCCCCTCTGGGCCAGTTTCCCTTTCTGAGGACACTAACCAGTGCAATTTCCAGGGACCCTGTAGACAGTTGGCAGTCCCCCCGCTTATGGAAGGCCACAGCAAGGCTGGAGGTGGGGCCTAAGGGAGGCAATATGTATGGGAGGGGGTGGGGGGACCGAGTGTGAAAAAGAGCAGAGGCTTTGGGGTCAGAGGGCCCTGGCCACTTCCCTCTGCCCCTGGAGTAGCAGTTCCCTCAACTGGACAGTGGGAATCACTGCCATCCCATGGGGGCTGCAAGCTTCAGCTCCACTGGGAAAAAGTCACAGCCATGCCTGGCAGACAAAGAAGTCAGCACATGTCTTGTGCTGGCACTTCAACATGAAGCCGTTTTTATCCCACACCAGCTTCGGATCTGGTATTTCAGATTTTATAGGTGAAGTTAAAGGTAAGCACTCAGCCCCGGGAAGGTGGATGGAGGGAGAGCCCCCACTTCTTTTCATTCCTGCTCCACATTTTCTAAATTTAGCTTTCTTATTTTAACATTGCAAATGGTGAACTCCCTGACACCTTGCAGAAGATCAAAGTCAGTCTTTAAGAATGTTCTTTGGAAGAAAGCATTTGGAAAAGAAACGTATGAAAGCATGGAGTACACCTGCCATTCTTCCCAATAAAATAGCCTACGAAGTGGGTGGGGGGCCTAGCAGCCAGCTGGCAACCACAGGGGCCTGCGTTGAGAAATCTAATCCACAGGGGGCTTCCTCAGGAGCCCTACATGTCCCCTTGCCTCAGGCAGGTCAGAACTTGGGGTTGATTCAAGGCCACCAGCTTGGACCAGACTTCAGGGGCAGAGATTTGGGTGGCATTTGTCCCAAGTGAAGTTGACAGGGCAACAATCTACAAAGTCCTTTTCTCTGCATCATCTCCCCTGCTCGTCACAATAGGCCCACTTTACAGATAAGGAAACTGAGGCTCAGAGGAGAGAAGCACCTGCAAAGGCCCCATGCAAGCAGGGGATCTAAACTGGTCTCCTGGCTCCAAATCCCACAGGGTAGCAGGCAGCTGAGGCCTGTGCTCAGCACAGGAGAGGGGCCAGGCAGCAGAGTGTGTGGGGAGGGCGTCCAACAGCCATACCTAGCACTCACTGAAGCCTGATTGAGTAGTCCATAACTGAGGCTCATATTACGCTAGTGGTAATACTAACATATCACAGTAGGGAAAGCAATCAGCAAAGAATGCAATGAAATGCTCAATCAGAAGAGCTCACCAGGAAGGTGTAAAAGCGACGGGGCCAGTGCTGGGTTGGGAAGCAGGGCATCTGGGCTCCGGGATCTGGGGCTGGCAGGGAGGTGGGGGGATGGGAAAGGCGATGAGAGATGCTGTGAATCCAGGCCTCCCTCCACCACAGGCAGGTGCAGCCTTCTCTCCTGGCCTTGTGTCCAGGTTCATTCATACATCACTCATTCATTCAACAAATGTGTGCTGAGGGCTTGCTCAGGCCTGGCGCTGGGAAGACACACCCACATGAAAATACTTGGAGGAGGTCACTGTGCCCTCCAGCTCCATAGTGGGAGCTACGAATCATAGTTCCCCAGCAGGCCTGGCCAAGGAACCTTGGCCTGGAGAGGGTATGTGACAGGAGCCAGCAATCCAAGTCCTTCCCTGAGACTTGTCAAAGAGGAATGAAGGAAGGAGACAGCCCTAGCCGGTGGCTTCTGCCTTGTGAATGAACCTGCACGAGGCCAATGCCTGGAGCACAGCAGGGGTGGCAATAGCAAGAGAGGGTCCCACCAGCTCTCAGCCTGCCGTGGCAGGTAAGGTCTGAGAATGGAGCCCAACCACACCTCT